GGCGTCTCGCGTCGATCCCCGCAGCTGCGCGGAGCCGAGGCCGGCGTCGCAGCGCGCGCGTGCGCACTTGCGTCCGCGCCGGTCCAGCGGTCGTCATGGCAACCGGCCTTGGCTGCGGATGCGCCCTCCGGCCTGAGGGGGGCCCAGCGCGAGAGTTGGGGCGGGGGGTTGGGGGCGTTCAGCAGCTCACCGAGCAAAGGGTCTGCGCATTCTCCGATTTTCCCTCCAGACGCACTCTTCCCACTCTTTTCAATTCAGCGTGGGCCTCGGGGACCGGGGTGGAGTGCCCCGACTTCTATGATGACAACCACTTAGCCCTCCTAACCTCTCCCTTTCTGCTGGGTTCAGCCCACGGGACTCCTGGGAGCCACCAGAAACCTGAGGGCGAGAGGAAACAGCAGCTTTAATCCCCCCTGAGTTCCTCTAACAAAGCCGAAGCTCCTGACAGCTCTGTCATTCGGCCACAGTTACCTTGCTTCCAGAAATATCCAGGAGCTTCTAGAAACTCCCGCCTTCTGCCCCACGTGCCCTGCAAGTCTGGGCATAGTGCCTCACCTCTCCTTGGAGGCTTCCTCAACTTGCTGCCCGCAGGCAACACCTTTGTTGATGGTTAATGAAACACTTCTCAATGACTCAGTTTGAGTTGCTCTTTCCCGTCAGGACCTCACTGATGCACCTAACAATGCTGCTTACTGGCTGCACAGCCTCGGACACTTTGAGCTCTCCAAGCTCCTTCCTCTTCTTCCTAAAAGGAATACCGATAAAAACCTTCCTGATCAGCACTTTGAAGGTTCAGGGATATCACATAGGAAAGATGCAGCGAAGTACAATTTTGGCCTGAGTGTTCAACCAAAATCTGTAATTTGGATTCCATTTTGGAATTGGGGCCTTTGCAAGACCAAATAGCCAAATGCGTGTTCAGCTGTCACCTCTAGCATCCCTGAACGTGGGCGTGATCAGTCCTTTGATTTTGCAATATGTGTGTGATTGCCCAAGTTCCCATGATATTTCATGGAAAAAAAAAAAAGACATGTCATTCAAATTGTTAAATCTGAATATCTCATTCCAATAAACACTCTAGCTATAACTAGAGTTTAAAAATCTCATGTACTTTACCTGTGGAAATTCTATTAATCAGCTGAAGAATGAATGTGTATCATCATGCAGTGGTTTTAAAACATGGCTGTAAGTTTTTTGATATTCCTATTGAAAGGTGGTGATCTTTGTCCCTCTTATTGAATCTGAGCAGACTTGTAAATTCTTTAACCAATAGAGAGTGTGGTCAAAGGGAAATTATTGGGCCAAGAGCATCACGGAAGGGAATCTATGTGACTTCTCATGTTATAAAGGGCCATGCAACTTCTTCCTTGTTTACTGGGACCCTCTCATTCTTGGATCCCTGAGCTCCAAGTAAGAAGGTCAACTAGCCTCCGGCTGCCATGTTGTGAGGAAGCTCAAGCCAACTGGAGAAGCCACGTGTGTGTGCGCCAATCAACAATTCCCAGCTGAGCCCAACCTTCAAATATCTTGGCCCAGGCATCAGACATGTGAGTGAGAAAACTTCTAGATGATTCTAGCTCCCAGCCATTTGACTCACTCCCCAACCATTTACATCTTCCCAGTTGAGGCCCAGCCATCGTGTAGTGGAAACAAACCATCACAGCTGTCCCCTGTGTGAATTTCTGACCCACAGAATCAATGAATGTAACAAAACGATTGTCTACACCGCTAAGTCTTGGGGTTGCCTATTAGGCAGCAAGAGATCATTGGAAGATCCTGCAAAGGTGAAATGCAGCAAGGATCAATGATGATTGATAAAGCATTACTACAAAAGAAAAGAAAGCAACAACCTTTTAAGTCTGCTCCCCAAAAAAGATTCCCCCAAATGGCTTTTTCAAGCAGTGCACAAAGACGTGCTTTCATGGGATTTCAGTTCCATGGGATTGTTTCAATGAAATAGCATCATCACCATCAACCAGATCTTCCAGCTTGTGAGTTGAAGAGGAAATAAATTTTCTACTGTAGTCAGTTACTTTTAGCAAAGAAGGAAATCTTGATAGTTTGGTGACATGTCACCATCAACAATGCTGGTCAAAAATGTCTTGTTCCGGGGTGTCTGGGTGGCTCAGTCGTTAAGCGTCTGCCTTCGGCTCAGGTCATGATCCTAGGGTCTTGGGATCAAGCCCCGCATCGGGCTCCCTGCTCAGCGGGGTGCCTGCTTCTCCCTCTCCCTCTGCCTGCTACTCCACCTGCTTGTGCTCTCTCTCTGTCAAATAAATAAATAAAAAATCTTTTTAAAAAAATGTCTTGTTCCTTCATCAGCCATTTAGTATCATAAATGGACAGGAGAGAGACCAGAGGACTCAGCTAGTAGCCATCTGTGCTACAAAATTACACGGTGACTACATTTTGAAAAAATAAAATTGTGATATAAATTGAAAGGTTTTCATAACATTTCAGATTTATTCCTATATTCCCTAAAGTTTATTCTATAATGGCGATCTTTGCCTGTGACCAAATACTCAGCCATTCAATATTTTGTCAAAATGTGTATTTGGTCCTGACACATAGCCAGCTCTTTTTATTATTGTAACAGCAGCAGTCCCAAAGGGCATTCCCACTGTTGAGCAGACTTCTTTTATGCTCTCTCCAGTGACCTGGAGTTTGTTCTGGGATGGTTGAACCGATGGGTCCTGGAAAGTAGCAAGAGGGTATGACTTAACTGCTACCAAATGGGATGTTCTCTTTAGAAAATTCTGGCAACTCGTACTGAAGTCTAGCGCTAGCACAGGGAGCTGTTTTAAATTTGTTGATTGAGAATAGCTCAGTTGAGAAAGCACAAAAACATCCAGCGTTGATGAGGAAAAAAGCAGCTAGAACTCTCATACAGGTACATGGCTGGTGACAGTGTAAATTTTGGAAAGCTCTTTAGCTGTATCTACTAAAGCAAAACGTATGAAAACTCCACACCTTAGATGTATATACCCAACAGAAATGTGTTCACTAAAAGCCATGGGTGAGGATATTCACTGCAACACGATTCATGATAGCTGTAATCTCGAAGCTACCGAAATACCAATCAACAGAAGAATGGATAATTGTGGCATGTTCACCCAATAAAATACTACTCGAATAGAAAGAATGAGCTACAACTACACACAACAGTGTAGACGAATCTTGCAACTATGATGTTAAGCCAAAGAAACCAGACACAAGAGCATGTACGGTATGATCCCATTTATTATATGAAGTACAGAAGGCAAAATCAATCTATGCTATTAGAAGTCGGGACAGTGGTTTCCTGTGGAATGTCTTAATGACTTGAACTGTGGGACTCCCAGGGGGAGGGAGAACTGGTGATGCTCTCTTTCTCTTTGTGGGTATTGGTTATGGGTGTGTTCAGACTATGAAAATTCAGCATGCTGTATGCCCATGACATGCACATTTTTGGGTAAATAATGTATACTGCAGTAATAGGCTTTACTGTTCTGCTGATGGGTTGGATGTGATGTGCAAGAGTAACCGAGAAAGAATGACTCCTGAAATTTTTGGTATGAGCAACTAGAAGGAGAGTGATGCCATTGGTTTTTGCCTGGAGAAGGTTTGATGGAGAAAGCATTTGTGGTGGAGGGGAGAGGGCGAATCACAAGTTTAGTTTGGGCCATGTTGAGTTTAAGATGTTGGGTTGAGGGTCCCCAAGACCACGCTCAGGTTCAGTGGTTTCCTAGGATGTATGGAACTCAGAAGAGTTATTGTACTCACAGTTATAGTTTATTACAGCAAATGAAAAAGAGTAGATAGGATAGAGTCCAGAAGAGACCAGGCATGAACTTCAAGTTGTCTCTCCTGGTGGAGTCATGTGAACAGCATTGACTTTTTCCGGCAACAATGGGTGACAACACACACAGAGTGTTGCCAACAGGGCAGCTCACCTGAGCCTCAGTGTGCACGATTTTTATTTCTGGGTCAATCACATAGGCTTGGAGCACCTGTGTAGCTGAGCTTACTCAGCCTCCAGCTACTCCAGAGGTCAAAGTGATAGTGCATGGCCCAAGGCCCCCACCATGAATGGTGTTGTTAGTATAGGATTCTCCAAGACCTTAGAGGTTAACTAGGAGCCCGTCAAGAGCCAGTCATTTCCTTGGGATGTGCAGGTTTGGACAACCCAGGCCTGCTGAGTTAACCCTTTATTGCATGGATGCCCATGAGTGTATCAATCAGGGATCAATCAGAGAAGCAGATTGCTAAGTGTTCCAAAATACGTAAAAGATAAATAAATATTTAAGAGAGATTAAAATTTTTTAATTTGTTTTTAAATATCAAAAGGAATATATAAATACGTATTTGTAAATGTACAATGACATGTGTATATATATATATATATATGCATGTGTGTAATATATATGTGTACACGTATGGGTGGGTGGGTGAGCGTGAGTGTGTGCGTAGGTGTTAAATGGAATCCGCTACCTGCTCCCTCTCCTGTCAAGGAGCCACCCTGATTACCAGCAGATCTAAAAATAGTTTTGGAGCACTCTTGATGGAAGTCAGTGCTGTGGTTTCCATGACAGCGCATCCCCGCAGCCCCAACCCTTCTACCCATCTCTGCACTTCCGGTCTGGGGTCACCTTTCCATCCTCTTCCTCTTTGTTTTGCCTTTGGGTTTTTATTTTGTGTCTGTGCATTTTATTTAAAAAAAATTTTTTTTTAGATTTTTATTTATTTATCTGAGAGAGAGAGAGAACACAAGCGACGGGGAGGAGCAGAGGGAGAAGCCGACTCCCTGCTGAGCAGGGAGCCCAACGGGCAGGCTCAATCTGATCCCGGGACTCCAGGATCATAACCTGAGCCGAAGGCAGATGCCACCCAGGCACTGCTATGTATCTGTGCATTTTAAGTGAGAGCCCACAGAGTTTCCATAAATACTAAACATGAAGAAGGTCCAGGCAGCTCTGAGCTCCCACCCAAATTTCTCCTCTCAAGTAAGCCGTAATAATCCACCAGGATGCTTCTGTGATGTGTTCTATCTGGTTTGTACTGTGAGAACCCCTTCTTGCTGCAGAGTTGTTTTGTGTGTGTGTGTGTGTGTAAAAGAAATACACTTTATTTTTTTATTATGTTATGTTAATCACCATACATTACATCATTAGTTTTTGATGTAGTGATCCATGATTGTGATTTGTGAGCCCCACACTGGGCTCCTTGCCTAGCTGGGAGCCTGCTTCTCTCTCTGCCTGCCTCCCCCTGCTTGTGCTCTCTTTCTCTCTCTCTGACAAATACATAAATAAAATCTTTCAAAAATAAAAAATAAAGATTTTATTTATTTGAGAGAGAAACAGCCTGATGTAGAGGGAGGGGCGCAGAGGGAGAGAGAGAAGCGACTCCCCAGTGAGCGGGGAGCACAATGTGGGGCTCGATCCCAGGACCCTGAGGTTATGACCTGAGCCGAAATCAGATGCTTAACTGACTGAGCCACCCAGGCACCCCAGGATTTATTGTTTTAATCCTAATCTTTCTCATAACATGTACCCCCTTCTATAACTTTTAAGGGTAAAATTCATATTGTTAACTGAGAAGAAAGAGGCACCCCATCCCTCTTCATTTTATTAAAATATTTAACCAAAAGAATATGTACTGTGTTCTCTATAAAAAATAAATAAGTAATTATTCTCATAATTTTAGAACTGTCATTACTAAATATTTAGTTAAATGAACAAGGGTATAAATAATACCAGAATGAGCACC